AGACTCTCAAGGCCTCGCTGCAGAAGGCACCAGAACCTTATTTTACCAAGACTCCCAGGTGACCTGTGTGCACATTAAAGTTGAGAAGTGTGGCTTTAAGTGTAGAGGAGGTCCCATGTGTCTGAATTCCAAACAGACTCCCCAGGTGATTCTCTTGTAGCCTATTAATGGTAAGATCACACTTTATAAAACACTGCCCTAGGACATAATAACAAAATGCAATCCAACTGCTCACAGTTGGAGAAGTCAAGCAAGGAGTTGCAGTGGTTCTCAACCTTGGCTGCACATTAGAATCACCTGGGAATCTTTTTAAAATCCTGATTTCTGGGCCTCATCCTCCGGAAATTGTGTTTCTTTGTCATGGGGTGGGGCCACAACATTAGTAACAAAGAAACAGAATTTCCCGAGGATGAGGCCCAGAAATCAGGATTTTAAAAAAAGATTCCCAGGTGACTCTAATGTGCAGCCAAGGTTGAGAACCACTGGGTTAAGGAGTCAAGACAATAGAAGACATGTGTGCACAATGGTTGCTCTATCCACTGAGCCAAACCAGCTAGGGCTGTATTTAACTTTTCTAAAAAATGATTTAAATTATTTAGCACTGGGCCAAAGTGAAACTGCAGTAAGATGAATGGTTTTTTTTGTGGCTGCAAGCACCCCTACCTACTCCAGGGTATCTGGTCAGATGGTATAGTAATTTCTATTTCTGGAAATTTGGGGTGGTCCAGAAAGAAAAATACTAGTTGACAGGTGGATTAATATGTAGTAGGGATCCCACTGTCAGGCCCTGCAAATTTCTCACAAAATGTCCCTTAAAAAGTAAGAGTGTGGCCAGGTGGTAAGCTTTAGGGGGTAAAGTGCAAATAGCCGTCCCAGCTTTATAACTAAGAAAACAGCTACCACAAGGGGGAGCAAAGTCACAGAATTAAAATCACAGTTGCCTGTCTCCCAAAGTTGGGTCACCTGGATCTCTGGATTTTAAGTAAAGGCATTCTCCATATCCAGCTTTGTGAGGCAAAGTGAACTCTTAAATACGGGAAAGATAAGGAGAACCTGACAAAGAGAAAACTGTGAAGAATAATTGACTTGTCCCACTAGCCGGTTTGGCTCAGTGGATAGAGCGTTGGCCTGCGGACTGAAGGGTCCCGGGTTCCATTCTGGTCAAGGGCCCATGCCCGGGGTTGCCGGCTCGATGCCCGGTAGGGGGTATGCAGGAGGCAGCTGATTAATGAGCAGGAGGCAGCCGATCAATGATTCTCTCTCATCATTGATGTTTCTATCTCCCTTCCTCTCTGAAATCAATAAATATATATTTACAAAAAAGAATAGCCCTAACCGGTTTGGCTCAGTGGATAGAGCATCAGCCTGCGGACTGAAAGGTCCCAGGTTTGATTCCAGTCAAGGGCATGTACCTTGGTTGCGGGCACATCCCCAGTGGGGAGTGTGCAGGAGGCAGCTGGTCGATGTTTCTCTCTCATCGATGTTTCTGACTCTCTATCCCTCTCCCTTCCTCTCTGTAAAAAATCAATAAAATATATTTTAAAAAAATAAATAAAAAAAGAATAATTGACTTGTCAATCACATTGAATGGCTGGATCAGAAGAGCTTCACCAAGGGAAAACCACGAATCAGTCACACACATCTCACTGCAGATGAATTGGTTTCACATGCATCATAGGAAGCAGAGTGGAAAATTAGGAAAACCGACTTTGGAGGCAATCTGCTATGGGCTGGAATTCTGGCCTCGGCAGGCCTTCCCACATTTACTGAACTTTCCAGATTCTCATCTGCAAAAAGCCAGGCCTTCCCACATTTACTGAACTTTCCAGATTCTCATCTGCAAAATCAGAACAATGCTGTCCACCTTGTTGGGTTCTTGTAAGAAGGTTTGCAAAATGCTCTGTTTGGTGGATGGGACCCAATCCTCAGCAACAATACAATGGTGGCTTACTAATACTGACATTAACATTCAAGAAAATTTATTGACTGTTTATTGGACATCATGATGAAATCAAAGATAATTAAGATACTGTCCCTAAATTATTATTATTAATTTTTCATCCTCACCCAAGTGTATGCCTTTATTTACTTTATTTTTATTTACAGTATTTATTTTTATTGATTTTAGAGAAAAAGGAAGGGAGAGAGAAACATTGATGTGAGAGAAATACATCAAGGCAATATATGTGCCCTATCTGGGGTTCAGACTTGCAACTTAAGTATGTGCCTTGACTGGTAATTGAACCCACAACCTTCCAGTTCATGGGACGACGCTCCAACCAACTGAGCCACACTGGCCAGGGCTTGTCCTTGGGTTTTAAATAGCTTTCTTTCAAAGACTAAAACTGAGATAATAATAAATTGCATTTCTCAGGTGTAAATATAAAGTAAATTCCAGCCCAGCTGGTGTGGCTCAGTGGTTGAGCATCAACCTATGAACCAAGAGGGTCATGGTTTGATTCTGGGTCAGGGCACTTGCCCAGGTTTCAGGCTCGATCCCCAGTTTGGGGTGTGCAGGAGGCAGATGATCAATGATTGTCTCTCATCATTGATATTTCTATCGCTCTCTTCCTCTCTGAAATCAATAAAAATATATTTAAATAAATAAATTCCAGTAACACCATGGATGGCTGATATGAATCACATTTAGACTTGACTACATAATCGCAAAGCAAGATCCTTGCCTCTGGCCTCTTTCTCCTCATGGCCAAACTATCTTTCTACACTGCCAACAGTTATCTTTATAAAACATGTATGTGATCATGACACTTCTCTACTTAAAAGGCTCCCTGCTGTCTGCAGAACTGTGTCCAAGAGCTAAGCACAGGAGGCCTCTCCCAGCTGGCCCTGACCTTCCTCCCCAGCCTCTGCTTTGGATATGCTGGCTCTTCACCCTCAGCTCTTACACAAGACAGTTCCACATGAAATTAGGGCAGTCAGGGTTCCAGAGTTAATCTCCTGTGTGCAAAGTGGGGGGGAAAAACAACTTAAATTTTTAATATTTTCTCTTACATTCTAGCCTGTTATAAAGTAAAAAGATTTGCTTAAAAACACATTTTCAGTCCTAGCCGGTCTGGCTCAGTGGGTAGAGCATCAGCCTGTGGACTGAAGGGTCCCCATTCTATTCTGGTCAAGGGCATGTACCCGGGTTGGGGGCTGGATCCTCAGTAGGGGGTGTGCGGGAGGCAGCTGATCAATGATTCTCATCATTGATGTTTCTCTTTCACCCTCTCCTTTCCTCTCTGAAATCAATAAAAATAATGTTAAAAAACATTTTTTAAAGCTGTACAATTAAAAACAACGTGATGATCAATTGAAACATGCATGTATATGAATATTTTTCAGCTCTCAGGGATCTGGTATTTTAGTGGAGGACATCTTGTAACTCCATTTGCAATTGTCTGGGTATGATTACCCCCTCCCCCCCAATGCAACCCGTAAACGCTCTGGGTTGACCAAACTACTCACTATTCATCCATTAAATCCAGTTCAAATACCATTTCTCTGGAAAGCCTTTCTCCCCAAATCTCTTTTCTCCTTCCTCAGGGCTCCCAAAGCTAGGAGTATTTCTCTCTCACAGCGTATTGTGCCGCCTGTAATTATTTATTTATACCACAATAGATGTGAGATCCTTTAGGGCAGGGTCTGAACCACTGAGTCCCTCGCTCTTAGCTCGGCGTTTGGCCTGCAGGAAGAACTTGAAAGTGTATCTCTGGATACATGAATGAATGATTGAAGCCTAAAATTCCCTACTCTTCAGATTTTGCAGGGAAAACATTTTATATATACTGCTGTCAAAAAGGTAGTGACCTCCTAAGTGCGACCTGTTCCGTGCGACCTGTTCCCACTCCCGCCTTTCCCACCGTCCTAGCTCCCCGAGCTACTGCGAGGATGGGAGAATATTGTGTTGAGGTGGGTATTTTCTCCGCTTCGATTGAGGAGCTTCGCCTTCCTTTGATTTTGAAAAGCCACGTCGTTCACAATTCAGTCTCGTTTTCCTACTGGGGTCCAGCATCTGGGAGTCACATCCTTTCTGTCATGGGGACATCCAACTCTGGATTTCTGCCATGGGGTCTGAAAAGAGCCCCCTCCAGGTCTCCCACCCTCGGCCAAAGAAGAGTCCCAGGTTGGGAAGAGGTTTCCCAGCGTCTGGGACAGCGTTCCCGGCCGCGCCAACCAAGCGCGGGGAGGCGCGAGGCCGGGGCGGGGCTGCGCTTGGCCACGGGAGGCATCCATCTTCCCAGACCGGCCCGGCCTCCCCTGACCCGGCGGGGCGGGGACGGAGGTTGGCAGGGGCCACCGCGCCGTCCCCTCCCACGAGTCGGCCCCATCTCTCCGGTCGCCGCCCGCAGCTCACTCGCCGAGAGCCGGGAGCCGGGAGCCGCGGGCCGCGGGCGCGCCGGCAACTTCGCGGCCACTGGGGGCGCGGCTCCTCCCGGCGCGAGTGCGAGTGTGGCCGGCGGCCTCCGGGGGGCAGCAGCGGAACGGGAGACCGGGAGACAGCGGCAGCGTCGGCGCCCGGTGGCTAAGAAGGCGGAGGCCCCTCGTGGAGCCGGCTCTGGAGACCTGAACTCCGGCGGGACTGCGCCCAGGACGCGTTGGAGCGGCGCCCAGCCGCCCTCCCGTCTTCCGCTGGACCGGCTGTAGGATTGCGATCCCTCTGCCCCGGTGGCGGCGGCAGCCTTTGCCGACGGAAGCGCAGCGGGCGCGGCAGCAGCATCCCCACCCGGCGGGACCCTGAGCGCGGAGCCGGCGGCTGGAGCAGGAAGGGAGGTTGGCTGCGCCCCCCGGTGCGCACGTTCTCCCGGCGCCCCGCCCTCCCCCCCGGGCCCTGCCCCGAGCGCCCGGTGCGGTTTCTAACAATGGTGCGGAGCGCCGGCGCGCACCCCGCGTCCGCCCAGCGGTCGTAGAGGAAGTGGCCGGGCTCCGGGCGGGGTGGGCAGGGAGACGCCCCCCGCCACTCGCTCGCTGGAGTTCGTCTGCGCGCCTGGCCTCTCCGGCCCCCAGCCCCGGGCACCCTCCGGATCACCGACGGCTGCTCGACCCGGGAGCATGGTGCCGGCGCCCGGGTTAATCTAGTGCTCGGCTCGCTCCCCTTTTCCGCCTCTCCCGCCTCTCCTTTACCGCCTGCCGGTGCTGTGCTGCCTTTGGGTTTCTGGCGTGTGGGAGCTCAACTCTCCGCCTCTCCAAGGGGACTGGTTTGTGACCACCTAACCGAACTTGCCCATTGAAAGCAAACCCACAACAGCTGGATAATGTCCACTCCGAGCAGATTCAAAAAGGACAAAGAGATCATAGCCGAGTATGAAAGTCAAGTCAAAGGTAAGGATGGGAGCGGCCGCCTCGCTCCTTTTGTGTGCTTTCTTGTCATTGTGCTCTCGGGGAGTTGCATTTCTAACTTGGGGTCTGCGTCGGAGGGAGGTTGCGAGGGACACTTGGAGCGCCTGGCCGAGCCACCGGGGGCTTCGTCGTACAAGACAATCCCAGTCCCAATCCGAGTCCCGTCAAACCCCCGGGAGCTGGGAAACCCGGTGGTTTTCCCTGGCTGCCAGCGCGCACCTCCTAAAGGGCTTTAACTTAACCACCGCCTTCAGCTGGGCAACTTACACGGGCGGCAGGCAGCACCAGCGGTTCCTGCCCAGTTCGCCCCGTCATCACGATCCCTATTATTCTTTTAAAATGATGCCATTGTCACACCACAATTTTTTTTATAGGAGTCATTTTCTTGAAGTCAGGACACCAAGTGGTCTAGAGCTTCATTGGGTGCAGGCAATTTTGACATTGACTCTGTTCATTCTTCATGTATTAGGGCGAGGCCCCCTTTATAGAACAACTCCCGGGAAGCCTGGCAGTTCAGCCAAGCAAGGACTAGTAGATCCGACTCCTCCTTTCCAGAGGGCCGGAATTCTCACTGCCATCTTTCACCCTCACACGGGAATAGGAATATTGCTTTATCATTTGCTGGAAGCCACTTGCATGTGAAATGAAGATTTGAATATTTCAGTAGTTGACACTTACATTGTCAACTAATGAAGGAACCTACTTAAGGTTGACTGAACATTTTTACGTGCTTTTGTGGTTTGAGAGAGAGATATTTTCTCTCTAGAACAAGTATTTTGTGTTGCTGTTGAAGTGTTTCATAAACATAGATGTTTATTGTCTCCCCCCCCTCCCCCCACCACCTCTTTTGTGGTCTCTCAGGGTAGCTTTCTCTATTGAGACAATGGATGGAGTGTGGAGGTACCTACTGCTCTTCGGAATATTCAATGCAAAGTTCATTAAAATTGCTCTGTAGACACCTGTGTTTGTACAGCTACAGTCTTAGGAAAGGCGTTCCTGTACTTGCCTTGGGTGTTCTTTTGTGTGGTCAAGTTGTGAAAATGCCTGCGTCCTGGGAAAGGACCTATCACCTGAGCGTGGGTCTGGACCAGCTCAGCCTGACGACAGGCGCACAGTGTACCAGCCCAGGGGCTCGGGTTTCCTTTCTGCTGACCCCTGCAATGGAGTTAAGCTAAACATGGCTCGGGAAGATGTTTATCCGCTTGTAATTCAGATAATTCATACTTATAGGACCTGGTTCCATTGACCTGGACTTTTTATTAGCAGAGAAGTAATTATTTCTTTAGAGACAGGAAAACTTGGTAGTAAGCACATCCTTTCTTTTCTTTTTAAAAAAATATATTGCACGAGCCGGCAACCCTGGCATGTGCCCCTGACCAGAATTGAACCTGGGACCCTTCGGTCCACAGGTCCACGCTCTGTCCACTGAGCCATTCCTTTTCTTAATGAGTCCAGCACAGCTTAAACCCTTTCATTCTACGGTAGAACGCCTGTTCATAATCACTATTCCTCTGTGCAGTGTTCCACATGGCTCTTTGTGGCAGGTCCTCCATGGGTGGCAGTCTGGCTTTCCCGCTGCATGTATTTCCTAGTATTGGCTTAGTTATTTCTGCTCTAAGGCCATTTGTCCATGATCAAGTTCTTAGCTGAAAAATATTCTCATGATTAATTTCTTTCAGAGTATGAATTCTATAGTTATATGTGATAACGTAAAAAAAACCCATTGAAACCTGTAAAGAATTTTTGGTGAGTTTATTTGAGCCAAACTGTCGACATATGCCAGGAAGCAGAACCTCAACGAATTGAGATAGTGCTCCGGAGAATGGCGGGGTTACATCCGTATTTATACATTCCGATCAAAGGAGGAACATAGGTGGGTTACATGAAATTCATTGGTGATAGATTAAGGAGGTGGGATTAAGCGAAGCGGGGGGCGGGGGGGACCTCTGGGATAGGATAAAAAGTAAAATGATGGACACATACTTAGGTGGGTGCAGGAACAATTAACATGATGATGAAGGAATTTGTGGTATCTGTCCTGGGGCCCAGCACATTTGGTTGTGCCCCAGGGGCTCCAGATACAGGGAAGTCACAAGTTACCCAGACATTTCAAGGGTATGTTATCATAGATGCAAAAAGACAGATAGGCTCAGTGAAGGTAAAGGTTGACCTTGTCAGTGAAGATACTAGCCTAGGACCTAACTGCCCACCATAACTGCTTTTAGTTAAAGTTTAATTTCAGACCATCCTTTGTGGTTACTTTAGGTCTCCGAGTCTGCAGAACTGCCATGCAGGCCTCTCCTGAGCTTGTCAGGTCAGCATGTGGCCCCCTTCGTCCACATATGGTTACTTCTGTGCTTGAGAGTATAGACCCTCTACATTAATTAAAAAGCAATCAAATGGGAGGTGTTGCAATGTTTAAAATGTGTGTATGAACATGGTGGAGATTATTTTTGGAACAAATTCTATCCCACAAAAAGTGATCTGTCCTCTATTCCCTTCAACCCTGACTGATACACACCCTGGAGTCCTCAGGCCGCTTTATGACTCTTTACTGCACTTGACCTGCCCTTCTCATGAGGACCTGTGAGCAGACTTGAATTACCTCTCCTGCAACACTTGCATGTCTTCTAACCTAGAACATTATATCCATATGCAACTATGGGAGTAGGGGAATACTGTGAAGTCAGACCATGCACACATTTAATGGCACAAATTCAACTGTAGTTGTATGCAAAATCAAGAAGAGAGTGGGAGAGAAATGATGGTTAAACAGTGCATGAGGCCCCCTGTTCTACAGTGAGAGTAGGTTCTTGAGTAAGGATAGCATGAGAGTCAGGACTCCGATTTTCTGTTTAATTTCCTGAGTCCTTTCAGGCTCAGTGTCTTACCCTACCAGAGTGCTAATCCGGTGTTTAAAGATACAGTATGTGTTTTTGGAACAGCCAGCTCTTTTAATTCTAGCCAGTTATTTCATCTGATGAAAAACAAAAGAAATGCGGCCTATCTATTGCTGAAGGAAAACTTGATTGTGTTGGCCTCATTAGGAGAAGATGTAGGTCTGTTCCCAATGAATTAAGCCACAGATATTGGTCTCCCTGGGTGAATTAGGTATATGAGTGATTTCAAAACTCTTTTTTTATTATGTGTGTTTTTTCTTATACTCTCTCATTTCCCTAAAACAGTTGCATTTATTTCAGAATTTCTGATCTAATGTTTTGATCTAAAGGAATGGCTCCAGATGTGGATTTTGCCACTGTGGCTGTCTGCACATGTTTTGGGAACAGATTTTATGGAGCTCTTGTCAACCATGAAAAGAACTATCCTAGGTGATAATGTGTAATTTTATGTGTAACATTATAAATGTATCTAGTTAGATGTATCATATTGGGCAAGTCATTTAGCTTCCGTCTGGGTTTTGATTTTCTTCTCTATAAGATAAGGAGTTTGGACACTCTCATCCTAAGGGTCCTTGAGTCTAATCAAAGATGTCATGTCAATTCATATTAATCACCTAGTAAAATTTTCATGCCATTTTGCATTTTCTCTCAGCTGCCATGTGTTGGGGAGAATTATCTTTGCTTTCACTTTTTTTCGTAATGAATTCACAAACACTGTGTATTGAGTGCTCAGGGAATTAAAATGTAATGCAATAGAGAGTACATAAACATAATAAAACCATGTTCAGAAAAGTATAGCAGAATTTTAAGAGGAGACTTGGGAATCATACAAGTAGTTAAAGAATAGAATAGCCATGGCTGGTGTGTTCAGTGGTTAGTGTCAGCCTGGGCACTGGAGAGCTGTGGGTTCGATTCCCAGTCAAGGGTAGGTACTCAGGTTAAAGATCCTATCCCTGCTCCTGGCCAGGGCATGTGTGGGAGGCAACCAATTGATTGTCTCTCTCACATCGATGTTTCTCTCTCTTCACTCTCTCTTCCTCCCCCTCCCTTCTCTCTCTAAAAAGAAAATTCAGTGGAAAAAAAAATCCTCATTCCTCCATTGAGGATTAAAAAATTAAATATATATATACATATGCATATACATCCTATATAATAAAAGGCTAGTATGCATATCGACCGAACGGCCGAACGACTGGTCGCCATGACACGCACTGATAATCAGGGGGCAGACGCTCAACGCAGGAGCTGCCCCCTGGTGGTCAGTACGCTCCCACAGGGGGAGTGCCGCTCAGCCAGAAGCCCTGAGCTGGGCTCACGGCTGGCAAGCGCAGCAGTGGTGGCAGGATCCTCTCCTGCCTCTGCGGCAGCAGTCGGACATCCCCCAAAGGCTCCTGGACTGCAAGAGGGTGCAGGCCAGGCTGAAGGACCCCCCACTCCCACCCAAATTTTGTGCACCGGGCCTCTAGTGTATATATACACTGAGTGGCCAGATTATTATGACCGGCCAGATTATGATGACCACCCCATCAGTACTTCATTGACACTTCCAAAAATACTGAATATTGAAAACTTCCTAAGCAAATACTCTCAAGGTTTTATTATTATTATTTGCATAACTAATTCACTCAGTGTATATACATATGTGTGTATATAGAGGAAGAAAAAGACTGACCATTTTATGCACGTTGGTCAGCTTCCCAAAGATTTAGAATCCAGAGAAATTAATGTCTTGTTTGTACAGGCCCTTAAAAAGCATGACTGGAAAAGTGTATGAAACGCAAACCATTTGACTGTGCTACTTGTTAGCATCTCTGGCAAAAAGCTTAGCAGTGGAAAAGAGTGTTAACAATTGGCTCACCGGAGATTTGGGGACCATCTGTGGGTGTTAGTGATCTATGTAATTTTTGAATTCTGCAACCAAAATAGTGTGGAGCACATATAAAAAAATACTGGTTCGTATATGGGAACCCAAAGAATCAGAAACTATTTCGAGAGGTGGGATGCATGGATGGGCAGTTGTGTTTGCTTTTAATAATGCTAGTTGTTAGTTGCCAAGACTTGACAGCTATTATTTGCAGTGTT